TTTTTTTTTTTTTAACTGCCTTTTCAGTTTCCCTGCCTTGTCTCGTTTTCATAGGTTCTGTTCATTTTTAGTTGTCGTTCGTATCAGCCTTTTTTACCAGCTTCAAATGTCAGTAGGTCCAAGCCAAAGCTAACTTCTTCTTTGTTAGTCTTTGAAATGTTTCTGGCTCCTTAAAAATGATTGATCATCTGTTCCCAAAACCTTCAGGATGACCATAAAAAGTCAAAATTATAATTTCCTTTCCCCCCCCCTTCATTTTTCCTCTCCCTCTCTCTTTTCCAGGTATAGCTTAGTGTTATGGGTGATACAAAAGAAGCTAAAATGCAGATAACACCAGAAACTCCAGGACGAGTCACAGTCCTGAATCCTTTTGAAAGTCCCAGTGATTATTATACTCTTCAGGAGCAGATTGTCTCCAGTCCTTCAGTCTTTAAATCGACAAAATCCTCATCTGTAAGATCTAGTCTTTAGTTGTGTAACTATACAGATGTAGTGCTAATATTTTAAAATGCATTAAAAAGTGTATTTTATTTAGCGTACTTTATATACTAAGCCAAAGAATTTTGGTGGCGTTTGGTGTTTCTTCTGATTAGAGGAGTATGCTGCTTTTAATACTAACATTGTCACTTAGTCTTTCTATTTTCCTGCTTGTTTTTTTTTTTTCTTTAGATATTAGGTGTATCAGTAGATTAGCATATACCCACTAAGTGCCAAAAACAGTTGCAAGTAGATAAAGGACCGTTATTGGATGTGGTGTTCTTGTCCCACTTAAAGTGGGAAAAAACCCAGTTCCTGCTTACATGCTAAGCAGGCTGGACGCAAGTAAAACTTGATTGCACTTCTATTATAAGCTGTTTGCATATTGACAGAATCAAGTTAATGATTTTGTGTATATAAAACACTTTTTAGTTGCAAATTACGTTCTGGTTTGGAGTTGGAATTATTTTCTGATAAGCAGTAGAGATGATGCTGTGCTAATGAAACTAAAAAGACTTGGTAGATCATTTTTCAAATGGATGTTTGAACAGTACTTTGTAATTAAGTGTTAAATAAAGGGGTGAAGCTGCTTTATTTCTGAATTGGGTTTTGTTGTGCTTTATGCATGGCATTATGAGGGAGACTTTGCAGGATGCATATGGGGTTGCAACTCCTAAGTCTTCTTGGAAATGTGAGGTGAAAGGAAGGCTGCTCTATTATTTAGATAACTTGGGTTAGGTATGAGACACTGGGTTTTCATGGAACCGCAATTTGATTGTGACAATCTAGAAGCAACTAAATTTTATCCTAAGTTCTGTATCTTTAGTAGATCTGTCCTCAGAAATGGAGAAGAAATTGACACCTTAGTTTGTAAATATTAGCTACAACCTTCCACTTCATGTTATCTTGTAAATCATTGTAATACCACTGCCAGGATAAAGAAGGCAGATTGACTTACTCTTTTTTTTTTTTTAAAGTAGATAATTTAAATAGAAACTATTTTGATTGTCTTTGACAGAAACTATATGGAAGCTATGATTGCATTGTTCCATTGAGATTTGTCCTGTGTTTCTATTTTTAACTTTTTAAACTAGCAAGCATTAAGATGTCCATTTCTTTTTTTAGACACCAGGAAAATTTAGATGGTCTATTGATCAGCTTGCTCTAATAAATCCTGTGGAAATTGACTCCGAAGATGTTCGACGCCAAGCAATGTATTTGAGTCATGCTAGGTAACTTACCATCTGTTTTTATGCAGTTAACTTAGCTTGCATACTGAACACTGTTCTTTTGCTTTATTGATGTTTCAACACAGCATTAAAGACTTTTTATTCAAATCTTTTAACATAGATTTTTGTGTCCCTGATGTGGATATAATATTTAGATGAGGCTGTTCTGTGTTGCTCTTTTTTAATGTTAAGAACTGCTGATCCACTCTGCAGTTTGGAAGACCGCCAGATAAAAGCAGTCAGCGGAAGAAAGAAAATGTCTTGCCAGTGATTGTTACCAAGCTACCTCTCCTGCTCCTTGTCACAACACAGTTTGGCTTCTCAGAGTGTTCCATACTGAGACCTATGAAGTGTAGGCTTCTTTGGTCTTTGGGACTCCTGCAGAAGGGTAGAGCTGGGAAAGCTAGCTAGGTAAGCCAGTACTCTTTTTGAAAGGTACAGATAGATTGGACTTAATGTGAAGGAGGGAAGACCAGTAAGCTTGCTGTCTTTGAGGAGAAGGAGATTGCTAGTTACTTGAAATAACCTGGGGATCCTGATCTCAACTTTTTCCTTCCTCTGAAAATAACTTCCATGGGGAAGACAAATGAGTAAGTAAAACAGGCTTAGTATTCACAGCTCATCTTGAGGGATAGTCTTGCATACTAATAGTACAGAACAACATGCCAAGTGAAGGTGGTCAAGGGGAGGCCACAGTGGTGAATCCTGTAGATGCCCCCATACATTTCTCAGATACGAACTTCCACAAAGAATTGCACCTCATGGCATGAAGCACCGCAGTAATAGAATAATAAAACAGTCCTCCATTCTCTCTCTGCCTATAGGACTTTCAAGTCCGGTTAGTGAAATGAAACACAGATAGAGGGCCGGTGAGGGCAAGAGTCCTCTGAATATTCATAGAATCATAGAATAGTTTGGGTTGGAAGGGACCTCTAAAGGTCATCTAGTCCAACCCTCCTGCAATGAGCAGGGACATCTTCAACTAGAGCAGGTTGCTCAGAGCCCCATCCAGCCTGACCTTGAATGTTTCCAGGGATGGGGCATCCACCACCTCTCTGGGCAACCTCTTCCAGTGTTTCACCACCCTCAGTGTAAAAAATATTGTGAATCAGACCTATTGTTCTTGGTGTCTGCCTGAACCTACATCTCACTTTTTGAACAGGAAGAGGTATAAGGAGGAATATGAATTTCTTGCTGCAGTAGAGATGTAGAAAGAATGTAACTGTCCTCAGCTATACCTGTGAATCACCGTTTCTTAATATTCTTTTTCTTAACATCTGTTTGTTTCCTGGCCTTCCTCTAGCAGCCAGTAGGTTTCAGACTCTAATGCTTTTTATACGTTACAAAGCCTTAAGCCTTATGTTTTTAAGGAGTTGATTACATTGTTTATGGAAGCCTATTAGGACACACACAAACTAGCTTTAATTTAGATGGCTTGGGGGACAATTCCAATGATGATTAGTGGCACGGCCTATAGATACAAACATGCGTGGTCTCAGTGGGTCCTTTCAGTCTGTCCCACTGTTTCATATCCACTGTGATTTTTTTTTTTTAATCATCTGATACGACTAGAAAGAGGGTAGTTTGTCTATGTGTAGATTTGCTGTGTCCATGCTTGCACGTTTCAGTGTAACACAGACTGGGGTGGTTATTTCTGGTGGCTGCAAACTGTACATGGTTAAATGCATATATGTGTGTGTGTAAGATTTTGTATGGCAACTGATTTTAATTTACATTTCTTAAGTACTGCTTTATGGTAACTAAAGTGTCATAAATACAGCTCTTGACATTAAAAGTTCCTGATAAAAGAACTGAGTTTTTGAAGCCCATGCATAATGTTACACGAACTATATACTCCATTTTAATAATGCTTGTTAACAAGTCTTCTTCTCAATTAGTTGCAAAGAACCACAAGCATAAGAAATTTGGTGTGTAAATATTTCGAACTGTTAATTCTCCATTATGTAGAAAAAGTAGTTTGGGTAGCAGCACAGTGTAAAAGCTCATGAGCACTTTGTGAAGTCTAAGTGTGTATCATGTGTAGACTTGATTTTGTGCAGTATGACTGTTTCCATAAACGGGGCATCATCTATGTGCTGTGTGTTTATTGCACTGCTTATAAAATGATTAGGAGAACTTTTTTCTGGCAGATTGTGTTAGGGAAATATAGTCTGTCAGTAATTGAGCAGACACAGTGACACAGTCTTGTCCACAAACTTTCCTCTTCCTTTTTTATTTCTACTGGTAGAAATTGAATGTTTCTAAATTGGGTGCTATGCTATTATATGTTAAGTATTAAAAAAATCTGTGCTGTATCTTGCATACTGTGTGTTGCGGTTGCAAATGCTCTGTTGCTTGAAGTTGCATACAAGACTGGCTTGTTTTTATTCTTGTTAAATACATATGATGTTTTCACTTTTTTATTTTCCTGGAGTTATGCACTAAGGAAAAAAACATCCTCTTCTGCATTAACCAGCACTTTTAGTGGGAGCCATTTTCCCAGTTCCCCTGTTTCTCCTTTGGAATCTGGCTTGTAAAGATGCTTATTACTCGTGATCCACTATGCATAAATATACAATGATTGTAAGCTTATTTTTTGGTACAATAACTGAATTTTGTGCAAGTGTCTTCACAGAACTGTCACTTTAGCATCATCTAGGCAGACATAGTTGAAGATGGCATGTCCAAGTATTGCAGATCTATTCAAAGTCTGATTAGCATCAAAGAAAAGAGGGCTGTGAGGGAGAGTTTATGTATGTATATCTACATGTGTTTGTGTAGCTAATAATGTCTGTTATCTGACTGATTTCTAAAATTATTCAAGGGCAATTCAGGTATACTAACTGTGTATGAACGTATTATGTGATTCAGCTAAGATGATAATGAATAGTCATTGTAAAATTTTTTTGAGCTTATAAATTACATAGTAGTAACTGAAAGTGAGACTTGAAGGTGACCGTTAAAGGAAGTATAAATGTAGAATCTCACACATCATTTGAAGATGGCTGAAGTAACTACAATATTTTTTTTTTTTTAAACTAGCTTAAAAGGTGCATAAGGGAAAGTGTTAATTGATTCAAACAGAAATATGATATTGTATCCTGAACTGAAGAAAATACGGCAGACTACCTATTTGAAAGGGGGAACTCCATGCTGGGAAAGCGGGCTGTGTCAGGAATTTGAGTATGCAAATGTTCCATGAGTATCTTCTGTTGCCCTTCTGCTCCTTACAGCTGTTTTTTATTCTGCTTGATTTTGTAATGAGATTCTTTGTGAGCCTAATCTCATGGAAACTTTAATTGTAAAATCTATTCATATGACAAGTTCAACATAACTAAATGGATTATTTTGTAAGATGATTGAGTTTTTGTCCAGATAAAAATACTTGCTGATACAAGGAGTAAGTAGAAGATTTGCAAATACGTACTTATAATGGTACAGATCTTTTTCAAATGAACTGCAGTAACTGAGAAGTGCATTTATATTTCTAAATTTATGGTATGAGATTATTGCACATAAATAGTGCAGTAAAAACATCATAAGATTTAGGGTTTAGTGCTATTTCATTTATAATGTTTCTCTTAAGCATCTGTAAAAGATTACATGGTTGGACTTTACTGTTTTTTTCCAATTATGTGATGGCTTTGATAATTCAGTGGTTTTTCATTTGTTACTTAGAATTGATAAGGAGACAGAAGACAGAAGGCAAAAAGCCATTGAGGAGGTAATAAAACGTTCTATGCTATCAAGTATTGATTTGTTTTAGCTACATACCTACAAAAAAGATCCACATCTATTACAGGATTTCAGAACCCACAAGCCGATTATATTTTACTGGTCAGTAAGAGTAATTTTGTGTCCTCATCCCTTGCGGTTGTAGTTGGACTCCACATGGTCTTTTTCTTTCCATCTGCTTTCACACACCTGTAGGTCAAACCAGCAGATTTTGTTTCTTTCCTGTTGCTTGGCTAGTGGGAATATAGCTGGAAAATAACTCTTATAAATAACCTTATAATTTAAGGTTAAAAATAATGATTGAGTATTTTGGGTTTTACAGTAACTGTTAGTGTTAGGTAGCTTAGTTTCTTTTATTACCTTTTTAAAAATATAGCAGAACCTTGGTGATTTTTTTGTTTCTTCCAAAGTCTGCTTAGTTGGAGGCAACAACTTTCTTCTGGTAGCTTGTAATTCTTTCCGTGCGTTTTTCATTTTATTTTTTACTATCCATTTGTCTAGCAGAGAAGGAAAAGTTAAGCGTTTCAAATCTTCACTACAGAAATTGTCAACATTATTTCAATTTAAAAAAATAAAATAAGGCTCTGATAGGCAAGTTTTCCTTAGTGTTATTGACCTTTTTATATTGTATTATGCTGTTATCAGTTTCTGTGCCTATAAACAAAAAATATGTTTCATGATTCCATAAAGGTGCTATGTAGTTGACCTGCAGCTAAAATACTCTGTTCTAAATCTGCATTAAAAAGGATATTTCTTCTTTGTGAGGCATAAGCTAATGGATTATGCAGCTGAACAGCTTGAAACCACGTCTTTGATAAAAATTCTGCTTTTAATAGTTGGGTGTTTCAAGCTGAGTTTTTTTCATTTGCTTTGAGTCTAGCTTTTATTGTGAGAACAGGATTTGCCATGTATTTCTTGAAGCTATGTGATAGTGTTCATCTCCTCAGCATCAGGGTGTTCTAGAGTGCAGCTGTGACAGCAGATAGAGTTTCTGGTTCAAAGAAAAAGGCATGTGCCAGTACTCAAAAATGTTTCACTGCTAACTAGTTTAGCCAAATACACTAATAATATTGCCAAAAAGCATTGGTTTTCCAATGCTTCTACTGTTTCTTTTACTGTTACTGGAGTGTCTCTAGCACTTCTGCAGAATAGCTCAATTGTTAATATACAACAAGTTAACAAACTGAAAATTTGAAAAGAATTATGTTAAACTACTGTGCAGTAAGTATGGTAGAGACAATTCAAATTTTTAAGTGAGTAATTAGTGATAAATGAAACTTTTGTACAATTTTCACTCTGCAGACTTGAAAGATCTGGGGTGGTGCATGTCATAAAGAACTTGGGGGTCGTCTTCAAATCAAATTGGTTTTTCTTTAACATCTCTGGGCCTGAAATAATGAAATATATTTTGGGTATAAGGGATAACTATAAGTTTGGGAGAAGGGAGAGTTAAAATTCTTAAAATATATCTGTGAGTAGCAAAAGGTATGACTTAAATTTTTCTTGTTTAGGGTACTAATCTAAATTTAAGTTGAGAGTATCTGATTTTTAAAAATGCTTAGATGGTTTCTTCCTATTCTACTCTAGTTTTTCACAAAAAGACTCATAGTTCCTTCTCCTTGGACTGAACATGAAGGCAAGCAAGTTTCTCAGTTTAGTTCAACTAAATGTAAGTTGCTTTTCTGTGTCCACCCAAAATTATCTAGTTTTTGGAGAAATTGTCAAGCATCACTTTTTTTCAACCTCAATTTAAATTTTAAGAACCAATTATAAAAGATGGCACAACTGATAGATTTTTAGCTGTTCTCTCCAAGTGCTTTCTTTGTTTAAAAATCATTTATTAATCCATAATCTTATATAATTTTTCATTTTTGTTATTTTGGTTCCTGTTCTTAAATCTTTTTCCTTTCATAAGCTGTCTTCAACCAGTTTAATTTACACACGCAACTTTGCTGTGTCAATACTGGTAATAGCCAAGTCTTCTACTTCACACTTTTCTTCTGATGTCTGCACGTCTGACTTACTCTGACTGCTTTCCTGCCTATGCAAATATATGGGAAATGAGTTCCATGTTTTTCTACCCTTATGTGCTATGTAAATTCTTGTTGTCCTCTTAATGTCCTGCTAGCTGACTGTCACTTTATATAGGGTTGTGGGTTTTCTAAATTTATTTCATTTACACCATTAGTAGATTTTATTATTAATGCTGTTGTTATTAAAGTTTATATATAACCAACAGAATACATAGCAAACGAATTACAAACTGGACAAATGTCAGCTATAAAGTGTTGTTTGCATTCAGTATTGTTCGGTAGGAAATTCTTAACTAAGTGGTTGGGGTTTTTTGCAAGATTTGGAAGAGACTGAACTGTTAAAATATTTTATCAAGGAGATGCTGCTTGTGACTATCTTACAAGTGACAAAAATACACTATCCACTTCTTGGGCAGAGCCACAATCCTTGATCTGGGAAAGTGAGTGGTGAAAGAAAATGGTCTAATGTGTTCCTTAGCTGTATAAGAAGAGTGGAGTGTTTGATTCTTCATCTTTGTCTTCAAGTCAGACTGCATGATTTTCTGGAAATCTGTTTTACTTGAACACAGCCTGTTTGGCTAAGCATGAACTGAGTTTGTTTTAAATCTCTCTAATGTTGAGGAGGCTGCAGGAGACAGATGTGGGCGAAGTTGATGCTACTTCCCTAAGCTTTTTTTGAATAGAAAGGTGCTGAAATTCTCTTAATCAGCTATAATGGTAACCTTTCTTCAGTACTCCTTTCTAATCTCTTCCAAACTTTGATGCAAAAATTTTGTTTAGTTGTATTAAATATTCTAACTTACTGCTGCTAGATTTCAAAACTGTATGCAATGCATGCTTAAATTTAAGTTCTTATCTGTTTTACAGCCATAGATCTAAATAACATTTCTCCAATTGGAAGACAGCTAACTTTGCAGCCTGGGAAAAGCAATGGTGGGTAAAAGGCAACGTCTGAAATTACAGGCCTACTCTGAAGCGAAATAACCCATTCTTTAATGGCTATTTAATTTCAAAAGGGAATGATTTTTTTTTTTTGTTAATATTCCTGTAGAAATAATTTTTCTTGAACTGTATGGTACTATTAATTTTAATATCAATTTCTCATAGTAATTTAATTCTATTATACTCTTTCATATTTTTTCATAAGTAAAAACTGCAGTCTTCTGTAGACTATAGAGTACATTTTTGCCAACTCAATGTATGCACTTTCTCTGAACTAAAAAGTGAACGTAAGTCTCAGGTTTATGGGTAAATTACAGTTTCAAGAAACCTTTAATGTGTTGGATTGTTTTGGGTTAGAGAATCTTGATTATTTTCTCCACCAAATAAATAGCAGAAATCTTAAGACATCTTTTCATTTTAGATTTCATTTTAGATAAATAGGTAGTGTTCTTCCCCAGGGTGTTTTGATGATCTTTCTCCCATTTCCTTTTGAATCCTTCCTTTCTTCAGAGACCTCTCTCCTCAGTTCAGAATGCCTCTCTAGAGGCTTTTATGTTACAACCCTTTGTTTTTTTTTATCTCTAGGCCTGAGTGTGCTGCATATAGTGTTGTCAAATCAGAATCCTAGATTTAATTAACACTTTTCCTTACTGCAACTGTAACTTAAATAGCTCAATTGCAATGCAATTTGAAAGCGAATTTTTGTTTCTACAGTTTTGGTAAAAGGTTACCGCAAGCTAATTTTGTTGGTTTTATTTATTGCAGCTTCTTGTCAGACAGTACTGTCTTTGCCAGTGGATTTTAATTTAGAGAAAATACTAGGTATGCCTTGTAATATCTAAATTTAATTATGAATGTCTAAATAGAAAACTTGTATTGTTTGATGGCTTTTTTGTCTTATGAAATATTGAAAACCTAATGTATGAATTTAAGTATGTGTTCTAAGACGGTTACTGCATGTTGCACGGAACATCTGACTTCAATGACATGATTTGAGTGTAGACATAAAGATAAAAGAGGAGGGCTATGGAGGACAATTGGAAATTGGTTAACAATTCTGAATGCATAAAAGGTAGTCAGCAGAAGACACCCCCTGCCTCCCCCAAATAGAGCAGTTATTTAACTTAGCAGAGCTGTTTGACTTGCAGATTGCTGGCCGTGAGGCTCACAGCCCAACCTTGCCTTGAGCAAGGCTATGCTATAACGCTGTGCCTTTAATTTAACTGAAGCCGTGGTGGTGACTAGAAGTTGTGTGGTGGCAAAAAAGCCATGACCACTGGGTGGGGAGACAAGAGTCCAAATTAACTGTCCGATTATAACTGCTGTATCAAGCAATTGCTGCCAGCTTCTCGGGCAGGGGGGCTGGAAAGGCCTGTTCTTACAGCTCATGTATGGGAATGGTGGGTATAGCCAGCTCAGAGGTTTTTGGCGGCACGCTCCTATCCCAGTATTGAAGTTCACAACCCTGATTGTGGGTCATCAAAATTAAAACAGAAAAACAGAACCATATCTATTGCTTTTGTGTTTCGTCTTAACAAATGCTTCCATCAATGCATAGTTTGTGAATTCATGAAAAATTTCTTCTACAAGAAATAGCCAATTAGAATAGAGCAAGAGCAAAAAACTAAAATAATCTGGTAAATCTCAGCGTATTTTAATGGGTCTTTGTTAAGATCTGTATGCTCTTCTACTGTAAACTGCTAACTGCTTTGACTTTCTTAGAGTTGAATCTGGTTTGCCTTTGGATGTATCACGGTGACCATCAAAGCATATGGGAGACCTGAAAAAGGGTCTAGTTTTGCTTGGGTAGTTTAGTAACCCCTTTTTCAGAACTCAAATGTGAAGAATAATACAATTTGGGGAAAGGGCCAGTAAGTAGATGGTAGCCAATATTTATATTTTTTTAAAAATGCAGACTTCACTATTAAAAGATAGACAGAAGTGGAACCTTGGTAGACAGAGTAGATTTTTTTGTAATGATAACAAGTGATCCTTTGGGATAGGTGGCTAAATTAGATTAATTCCTTGCTGTATTGGTAAATTGGATTAAATGTTTTAATTTAGTTATAGATGTCTCTGTAGTGGAAGATACATTTTTTTTCTTGCATTCTTATTGGAAACGATTTCTCCTCCATGTTTCTAGGTGAATATTTTAGAACTGATGAATTTGCAGATCAATCTCAGGAAAACCTGAGCTCTTCATCGCTCAGAAGAAAGCTGTTTTTAGAAGAAAATGGAACTGTATCGGAATGTTTGTCCCCTTCTCTGCATAGTCCATGCGGTAGTCAGCCACTTGGAGTGCTTTGTTCAATTGACATATCTCCAGTCCGATGCAGAAGCCCTCTGGAAACATCTAGCTCAGTAAGTAGCCTGTTTTGGGGGCTGGATGGGATGTGACTTAGCTGGCACAAGAGCAGTTCTTAGAGCAGGCTGTACCGTTTCTGTGTTCTAACAGACTTCACGAGATGAACAACCATGTTTTCAATAAGCTAGAACTGCTTTATGAAAGAGTCGGTATTAGACCAAAGGTGTTTGTTGTTGGTTTTTTCTCAAATTCCAATCTCAGAAAAAAATCGTGACCAAAAAAAAGTCTTGAAAGAATATATTACTAACTTTTTATTATATCAAATTATTATGCTGTGCTGCTATTCTTTTGTATAGAAGAAATTACGCTTTAATCTTATATTATGAAAAGGAAGTAGGAATTGATACATACACAAGACTTGCTGAAAGCTTGTTGAAACCTTTTTTTTTTTTCCGTAAAAAGTGCATACAAATAAAAGGCCTGTTTAAATCCATGGGCTGCTGTCTAAAATACTAGTTGATATGAACAGGTGATATAATTATTTCCCTTATAGCTCATAAACTCATTTATGGTGGAAGAAATGACTTGTGGATCTTTGAATGCAGTGCTAAATATGCTTTTTTCTTTTCCATTGACCAGAGATTTCAGATGAATATACATATATTAGAACATGGAACATAATGTCTGTTTTTTAAATTAAGCGAGATGAATCTTATTCCCAGGTGGACATAGCACAGCTAAACTGGTTTAGGTGGTATGGTTTCATCTGTTTGGCGGCTGAAGTGCACAGAAAAAAGGTACCCCAGCAAGAATGTGGCTTTAAAAAAAAAAAAGTCCTCACTATGGTAACCTAGTAGAGAATTCCTACAACATAATTACACTGCTAGAAGTGACTTTTCTTTTTGTACCATACTCTTAAGCAAGGTCACAACCACTATTCTTTTTTCTTAAGGAAAAATATTTTCTCTGCTCCCGAGTTAAATAATTCAGATAATATGGATTCCATTAAAATATAAATAGTGGCTGGCTTTCATCTGCATTGTTAGGAGTAAGAAATTGAGATTAAATACTTGACTATATACACAGATAGCATTAATGCCCTGTTTAGGCTTATCGTAGTTCTTAATTACAACGGATATTATAGTCTTAGTTGGTGTTATGTGACAGTTTGAGTCCGTTGCTCCTTTCCTATGTGGAGGCATAAAGTCCAAGTGAAGAGTTGCCACTGGAATATTTAAGCTAAACTAATGATAGAGGTTGTCATTGTACGGTTATACAGGATTAGTTTTCCTCAGTGCTGCCATATTAAGCTTTTTAATTAGAACACTTTTTATATATACATATTAGTCAAGGTTATATTATGAAAATATGCCTTTTTTTTTTTTAACTGAAGGGTCAGTTTTCCTCAAGTCCTATTCAGGGAGGAACAAGGGCTTACAGTCTTGGAAGTATAACCAGTCCCACGTTTCCAGAGGGGTCTCCTGCACAGAATGGTTCTCCTACTTTTTCACCAATTGCTTTTCACATAAGAAAGACGCCACTGTCAGGTATGGTTTAACTGTATATGTGTTATTCTTTCTGGATTTATATATTTTGATTATAAAAACTGCTGCATTCTTACTGGAACTTTTTTCTGTTCCAAGACAAGTTACTGTGCTTGGCAGACCAGCAGTCTCCTCCTATATGACACATTTACTGTTTAGCAGTGAAACATCGTAATGATGTGTAACAGTGATCTGCTTGCAAAAAATCAACTCGGGAAAATGTTTTTGAAGGAGGAATTGAGACCTAATAGGAATGGAGAAAAAATTAAAGGATTAATCTAGTGTGAGGAGGGGGTTTAAAGCCATATGCCTGAAGTAAGTCAGGTCACAATTCTGATTTGGCCCAACCTGAAGCATTTTAGTTGGACAAAGAATGTTTAGCTTGAGTTTTCAAATCATGTGATCGTCAAGATTATTTGACATGAAACTGACTAGTGAAGAAATCACAAACATTTTGTGTCCTCATTGCTCTAGAAAATGTCAGTATTATGTTTCGTCCATTGCCTGGAAAGACTTGACGCCACATTTATACTTGACTTTGCTCCGATGAGCCTTGTGGTATTTCAACACCTCTATATATGGAGATTGCATAAGTTTGATTTTCTTGAAAATTTTACTGCTAGCCCAAATTTGTTTTTAAATGCCTATAGAATATGTGTAATTACGGGTTTTTTTGGAAGAAAGCCATAGAACCAGCCTTGACACATTTTTCCTGTGAACAGTGTGCGGTATTGCCATTTGAAAGTGCGAGGCCTCTGATACCACAAACTATGTCATAGGAAACAAATTTGCTGGTAAAAATGGGATAAAAACTTGCCTTTACTGTGACAGTTTAAATGCAGCTAAAACTCGCCCTTGGAGCCAGGAGGCAGTGGTGCTCAGTGAAACACTACGTAGTTGGCTATAATTATTCAAAGGACTGTAGGGTTTTGTGGATGATGATGTTAACTCTATCTGATATCTAATAGAATAACTTTGTTTGTTTGTTTTTCCCCTTTTTTCTGTGGACAGACCAAAGAAAATTTACATTCCGTTCTCCAGATATTCCTTCTTCCTCAAATAGAATGACACCCCCGAGTACAAGAAGTCCTTATATAGATGGTTGTTCTCCAATTAAAAGTTGTTCTCCTATGAGGCTTGGAGCACGTAGAGGAACTACCCAGTATCAGACTTCTGTCATTAGAATACCAATTGCAGTTGAAAATCATGGTGAGGATGAGGAAGACAAGGAAAATGCTTCTCCAGCAGAAGCTCGGTTCCCAGAAATGGATAATGGAAGAAACTTATGTCAGCAAGACGGTGATACTTTTGCACATGGTACACATCTTGTGGTAGCAACTGTGTCTATTGCACCAGATCACTCGGAAGTTTGTCATCAAAGGTTGTCGTCATTTCAGGCTATAGAAGGCTCAAAGGAAAATAATACTGTAGATATGGCTGATGCAGCTGAAGTGTCAGAGGAGAACACTTGGATAAAAGAAACAATTGGCACTAGCAACACACCAATGACCAGCTTTATGACAGGCATTACTTTCAGTATTGAAAACTCGCGCATGTGCATGTCACCTCTTGCAGAAAGCAGCGCAATTCCTTGTGACAACAGTAGCATTCAGGTAAAATAAAAATCTTCTTGTGCTTCTCTGTAAAACTGAGCTCGACGTTCGAGCTTTTAGTATGTATACCATTCTGGAAGTAATTGTCTTTTCTCTTACTGGATGTGGCATGCAGGTGGTATTGTGACTTTTATTCCTTCCCCTCGTCCCCTTTTTCCTCTCTCAGTGGAGTCAGCATAGAAACTGTAAATTATTTTTGTGTTACTATGTACAGTAATACGTTTAACTTAATCCAAACTAATTCTGACAGACCCATTCACAATTTGCTTTTGTTACTAACTGATGGTAGGTGGTTTGTTGGATTAAGTTCTGTTAAATGCAAGTCGTATCAGGTATGAGAATCTGAGGGGTTATTGGTGATAAATTGCAGTACATTTTTTAAGCCCTGCTTCTTGATTTCAGGTGGACAGTGGTTATAATACACAGACTTGTGGAAGCAGCATTATGGATACTGCGGGGGCTGAAAACAGTTGCAGAGAAAATGATGTGAATACTAACCTGTTTCAGAATAAATCTCAGCTCCTTAGATCAAAGGTAGGAGTTAAACTGTGATGCAAAAGTGATAGGCTTCCCATCTGAAGCATCCATTCCTTATTTTATTCAGTTGCAGGGAGCCTGAGTGAGGGGAGGAGAGACTGTCAGGTGATAATAGAAAGCATGTAGCATCATTTTGTTGATTGTAAGCTGGCAATAAAATTAATGTGTTCTATGACAAAGGCAAAGGTAGTTTCACAGGAAACTGAAGTATGTGCCTAAAAGGTAGTTCTGAGGCTGCTCATGGCTCCTGATGTATTGTAGTCTGTCTCTTATTTTTGTTTCTGTTGTTCTTCCTCTGTTTTGGGGGGGGGGTTTATTGCCAAGTTCTTAAATGTGTGCCTGCGGAGAAGCATGTTTTTTGGGAACAACTGTCAGCTGCTACTTTTCATAAACTAGCCTCAAGTTTCCTAGACCATACCTGGCATGCTGACTTGGTGGGGAACTTTCTGGTTAGGTACAGCCTTTTGATTACAAGCCCTTTGATGACCTATCTTCAAAACAAAAACTACAAAAGACAATACATATCTAGCAAGGCTCCCAGGCTCTTAATCTTGTGACTGATGGGAAGGAGTTCTACTTCTTCCAGAGAATGGGAAGGAGTTCTACTTCTTCCAGAGAATGGGAAGCAAGGCTAGTTTCTTTGGAGGAGAGAGCAAAGATCATCTCCTCTCACTTAGTAATTATGGTCTTATAAACTTAAATAGTTTACGGTCAACTACTTGGCATTGTTGACAGTCATTGAAGGGGAGACAGTACTGACCAGTAGTACCAGGCTATAAAAAGACTCAAGCCCATTCAGCCCTGACTTCACTTCTGTCTCTGACATGCTAATAGCTGCTTCTCTAACAAGGTAAGGAGTGGGTTGATGGTGTCTTATACACAGACCACTGACATCAAATTTTGAACTCTGCGCATTTAAGATCGGGATAACTGTGCCCTTATAGGAAGAATAGATGGATATTTTAACTTCTAAAAATACCCAGCTATGCTGAGGTCTTGCCCCACTCACCCTGTTGGACCATTCAGCTCTCGCAACAGAGAACCCACAGAGAATGAAGAGAAAAAAGCGTGGACGCTGCTGGCTGAAAGCATCCAGTCTGGCTCATTCAGAGCATGTGTGCTCTGAAAGGAGGTTCTTGCGACAGCATGTCTCAAAGATTTGTGCAGAAAAAAAATTACCTTTCATTTCTTTTTTATTTCAGAAGGGGAGAGATGGGAGGCTAAGGTACTAATTGTAACTTGAAATTTTCAGGTAGTAAGTTTGGATCTTGTTTCTTTTGGGGAATTTTTGTGAAAATGGTTTTAAAATTAACTTTTCCTTATTAACCTAGGAGTGTTCCGTTTTAAACCATAAGGACAATCAGTTGCTGAGAGCAAAATCTCCAGAGAAGCAATCCTGTTTCCAAAAAGCAAAAACACATAGTACAGTATTTGGTCAAAATGCAACTTGCAACATTTCTGCCTGGAAACATAAAAATGAAAATCAAGTTCAGGGATTTCACAAAAATGGTATGTAGTTTTCTGATGGAGAACTTAAATTGTGTTGTCTAATAAATTTTTATACATAGGACCTCAATTACCTGGATTATACATACTATTTTGCTTTTTCAATGCAAATGTTAATAAATTGTCTGGTATATATTAAGGGAGTTTTTAAATAATGTGGGGGTTTTCAGGTCTTACTAACAAATTTATTGGTATCATTAAGTGATCCTTTTGAAGATTAAGGTGGCTAGACTTGGTACAAAGAAACGATAGTGTGTTTTCAGAATTGCGTTCCTTCTGTGATCAGGGTAGATTCCGTGAGAAGCCTTGTTCTGAAAGTTTGGACGTAACTAGGGTAACTTGCCTAGAAGCCAGTGTAACTGCAAAACCGCCTACATTTTAAGACACAACTCCTAAAGGCATTGAGGGAAACTCTTCTTTGGGGGGGGGAGGAAAGGAGCATTAGTTTTGATTTGGATTGCTTTTCCCCGATCAGGCTTCAGGAATACTAGCACCTAGTACCAAGAAGGAGTCACTGGACAGAAATGAACCTCTGGGGGTGTGATGAGAGCAGGGCTGGGCTAACAGGAGGGGGGGGAGTGTCTGTCAGTATCAGTCTGAAGTAACAGTGATGAAACTCAGCTGTGACTTTCGCAAGGAGAGAATAAAACTAGCGTTCCAGAAATGGGTCCCTGGAATATGTGTCTGTTTTATAGTAGACTTGCAAACTGTTAAAAATGGGTGCTTTGATTTTAATACCAGGCTAGTCCTTTCAGTTAAGTTTTCCTTGTGAACAGCTGCATGAAAACTCCATTCCAGTTATGAAAATTTACTTTTCCACAATTAAAAAACAAAAAATTTTAAATCTCAGTAATAAAATAAACTATATGTCACAAGAAGCCTTTTAGCAGTTCTTTGATCAGTTTTTTCCTTGGTTTGGCAGAAATCAAGGAAAAGGACAGGTGATGGAAATGCTTTAATAGGAAAATAGAATCTCTTCCCCCTAAACAAGCAGTTCTTACTCTTAAAACTGCTTATCTGTCAGTTAGCTTTACCATGTACTTAAGTAAGATGTACTATCGGTTACTTTAAAATTAAACGATAGCATTGTTACTTTAGTAGTTGTATTAGTACTAGTCTTGAAGTTGATCACCTGCCTCCACCAGTGTCTCCTAAGAACGCTTGTGTCCAAAGTGCTGCTCCGGTCCCCTTTCGAAGGAACGTAAGAAGGTGCAATAAGGTTAATTGGTCTCAGCACATGATTGAGAATGGCGCAGCCTGCCTTCTAGGAAAGTAAACCATTACACTTTTACTTCCCTCTTACGTTTAGTTCCAAACACTGTTATGTCTGCTTACAGAAGTTACCAAAATATTTAGATAAGCATTTTGAAATATAATTAATTTTTGCATGCCACTTGTTGCAAAAAGTATTAATATAAACAAACTCCTGATACTTTCAAGAAAACCATCGATGAACAAAAGTAATGGAATGAGGAGGGTCTGGAAGCCCAGAATTCCCTTTGCCTAACCAAATCAGATTTGGTTAAATTTGATTGGATTTGTTTAAAAGCACCTTCTGGACTTCATAAATGTGAACGGGGAAAAAAAACCATATGGCAATCTTCTAGCCCTAGTGACTAAGAGGGAAAGAAGAGATAGGGGAGATACTGACACTTCAGGGCTCGGTGTTTGTAGAGCTCTGAAGTAAACTTTGTTGGATTAATCAAAAAGGCAAGTCCATTCCGGTACGTGCTCCAGCTGAAGCAGTCTTTCTCCCTTTTCATAGCAAGGATATCCAGTCCCAGGACACTGGATGGAAGTTCTGCTTCCTATTCTATTCCACAGCCTGCGGAAGAGCTTGTACCAAACTTATAGACCGTGGCTGATGAGTAGCTATTGGCACACTGAGCCTGAGTTCAGGTCAGACCTAAATTTGAAGGCAACCGACAACGTTTTTTAAAAAATCTCAGCAGGGGAGGTATGAACGGAATTGCATAGCATTAAACAGCAGTGCGTTAGCCCTGAGACTTGTGCGCGGGCGTTGGATGAATGGAACAGTTCTCAAAATGTTTTCATTAATAACTCACCAGTGAAGGCTTTCTGAAAAATGTACTTAATGAAACAGGTAAACTTCTGTACCATCAATAAAGCATCATTTGGTTTTAGTTCTCACATTGCAAAAATAGTAATTAAAAAAATTACTTTGGATTTCTAACGGGCAAACACGACGTGCATTATTTTTACTTCCATCGCAATCTAATCAGTGTTTCTGTTATGCATCTCTGATTGACAGTAATTGAACCTAACGTCCTGAATTATCTATTTCAGGATCTTGAAACAGTGCCCTGCTAAAAGCTGGAAATACACTGAATCGATAACTTTTAAGGGATGAATTTCGTTGAAGTAGAGAATCAACTTAGCCTTCTGGAAAATGGATTTATTGAATAGGGCATTCAGAGTGTTCTTAGCTTTAGTTGGTAAGGTTTGTACCTCAAAAGCAAGACGCAACTTTTGCTGAGACTTAAAAGTTATTTATGACCTTGCGTCTTTTCTGTTTCTCATGATAATTCTTTTTAACAATAATCAACTGAAAGGGTGAATTTCAGATTTCCGGACTGTGCAAAGGATTTATTTTTGCAAGTGTGATTACTAAAAACAGTAGTAATGTTAATGTAAAGGGGAAGATGAGAAGCAGAATTAGTCCACATCACGATCTGTTTCTGAACTGTTTGGCATGGTATGTGTAATTAAGATTTGGTTTTAATTTCTGACTAAAATTTTTAATTCTTTATAATGATATGGTCAATGACCAGAGGCTTTCAAAGTATTCACAAATAAAAAAGCAATCACTAAAATACTTAATTGCACCCTGTATAAGTGTTTTCTTAAAGGTAAGGGAAAAGTAACAGCAGAAGTGTGTGAATGTGAGAAGTAATTAAGGATCCCCCCAAATAAATTGCTGGTGTTTTCTGTCCTGTTTTATACTCCTCAGTTAGATGGGAATTATTTATTTTATGAAAACGTGTATTTTTATTACGTTTGTATAATTCTTTTGTAGAAGGAACCTACTGTGCAAATCATTGTGGAAATCATTTGACCATTCTGTTTCTCTAGTTGTACTTAGCGTGTTGGTTGGCACACGTTGCACAAAACGGTCATTGTTTACATTAAATTAATTTCAGTGGTTTTAAGGAAAGTCCTTTAACATGGATAACTGTAAATTGAGTAGTGAAACAGAATAAAGACATCTCTCTCATACCTAGATTGTTTGTATTGCTTTCTTTGCTGCAATTTGCAGCATCTTTCGAGTGCTGCCTGTAACACGCGTACGTGTCTCGTTTGGGTGGGGGGCACTGGGGAACAGAGGAAGGAGATCAGGCAAGGAGCTTGGCAAGCTTTCGCTCTCATACAGCTAAAAAACGGTTTCAGTTACTCCCATGTACGGCGCTGAATTCAAAGTGCAGTACCAGTTAGATCCAGTGCCCTGCCCATCTTTGAGTTTTAAAGTTTCCGAATAAGCCTGTTGGAACAGTGGCGGCAGGACTAAAACGTCTCATTCAGGGGGTGCGGTTTCTTCTGCTGCAATCAGTTAAACATGTTAATTGTCTCCTTTTGATGCCTTTTATAAATATGTACTTTATAAACCTGATCCAATCCTTTACAATGACAGCAGATGGGGAGCTGAGTAAATATGGCCGAGTGACAACCAGGTATTGACGATCAGCTGTGACCCACTCATTACCCAAGGAAACCACCAAGGAGTAAGTGACTAGTAAAGTTTGAGCTGTACCTCTTCAAAGATCTCTGAGGAACATCTGCAGTATGTGGGATTGCAGTTTCTCGGCTTTGAGGGGTAGGAATTGGCATCAGCAGAACCGGCCTACGAGAACTACTGTAATCCCAGGCACTTCAGGGAATAGTTCTACTGAAAGGAACTCGCAGAATTCGATAGCTACCACCTGAAAGAAAGCCTGGCCTCCCCCGCCCTGGTGGTGGGAGCTCGGCAGGGAGTCTAGGAGCACACAAAGCATGCTGTATGACTGCCTCGCCAGGTGGTGTAGCTTGACTGTAACAGCGCAGCTCAAGGCACAAAATGATTGAGGGTTTTTTTGAGAATTCTAACTAACTAGTAATTCTAACTCGCCAGCATCGTGGCAGCAGGAGCTAGAATGATCACCGCCAAACTTGTTACTTGTGGATTTTTGTGTCACACAACTATAATTGATGGTTTCCATCGCTTTTTTTTAAGGCAGTTCATCAGAGGCTAAGCAATGATTTTAAATTGCTTTAAGGTCTAGGACAAAGACTAATGCACTCTTATGGTATGGTTTCTCTGCGTATTGTGTGCATATGTACACACAGCTAATCTGCTGTGAGAGAGAACTTCCCTGGAAGGAAGTGTAACTCTGTGGAATTTATCTTTCAGGAGTAAATTCTGTTAGCCCTTAAGACCAGTAACTAGCACCATTACTTCTTTCAGTTCTGAGGTGCTAAAGCAAATGCACTGAAGAGACGGACTTTTGCCAGGCTCTTGCATGGCCTTAAGGCCATTAAAAAAGAAAATAAAAATTAAAATACTACAACTATTCCTTCACTTTGCAGAAGTATTTATTTTCACCCACAAGACAACACTGTAGACAGACTTGGTTTTAAAACTATTGTTCTCCATACATATATTCATAAAAAGTTTAAAAAAAAAAGCCAGTTTTACAAATTATTAAAATGTGTATTTAAAAGTAAACAAAGCATTTTGCCCATAGGGAAAAATATGTAAATACAAATAATTCATATGTGACTTCCTATTAACTTTTATATCCAGCTATTTTTGTAGCTTTTTTTTCTTTTTCTCCGGTTCATTCTTGCTGCTTACTTCTGTAGATAGATTTGCAGGCACATCACTTCCTAGGATCTACAGTAAGGAAAGAATTGGAAGTTAGAACACTTTTGACTCAATTTTAGCTTATACTATCATGATAAAACTTGAGTTTACTTATACAGACCTTTTATAAACGCTGTATCAACACCAGAAAATTCTGTTAGTAGTCATCTAAAAACAGGCCTACCATCATGTAACAATCGCAGCCAGAACACTCAACTGAAGACAGAGATGAGGGAAATGCAAGCAGCAGCACCCCTCCTGACTAAGTGGCCGGCAGTTCCTTTTGCACCAGATTATATGTGCTGCCTTCTCAGTTGTTTGCCACGCCTTAGCAAATGCTTCTAAGGCAGGGATTGTGAATGAGAGAGGCGAAGAGGGGTCCTGAACCTACCAGTTTTCATTTTGCTTTCAAAACAATCAATCACCGCTGCTGTGTTTTCTGAAGCGTTGCTCCTGTCAAGCAGAGGCCCTGTCAGGCTCAGGACGCTGCGTAGCAAAAAGGCATTTAGCTTTGGTAGAAACTGGAAAACCTTTTGAAATAAATGGGAAACAGTCTTTTTCTAAGGCAAAGAACAACAAGAATAAAGAAAAGCCTTTGTGTTTACAGAGAATGACTTGTCCTCAAGGAAAGAGGTGATCAAGAAGCGTGCTATGCTTTCTTTGGGAATACGGGAGTAGCGTTCAAGCAGAGGAGTGAAGCAGGCCATGATGAAATACAGTTCATTTAAGTAGGGTTCATAAAAGAGTTGGACCGAGACCAGGCACATGTATGCTCCTCTACACTTGAGTCTTACGAGCAAACTGTAATGTCTGATTAGAGGAGGTGACGGGCGCTTCAGAAGCTTGACGCAAGGAAGCTGATCACTAGGACTTCAATACCAGGTTATAAATTACGTGAAAGCGACAATAGCATATGCCCGTAGAAGAGTCATTTAATTGTATTAGAGTAACACAGGCACCTATGCTGGAATTAAACCCACCGCCATAAGCTGAAGGCTATGGTTTGGGTCAGCTAGTTAGGATGGCAACAATTACGACACGCTGAGGAGTACCGGAGAGGCTGTGAGACCAGGTAACACAGTAACAGTAATTACCTTCAATGAGTAAATGTCACAAGAAGGCTCGAGACAGTCTAGGTTTCGAGGTGCCATAGAGGCCTGTTTCTTGGAGCAACTAGTCAGAGAACCCATAAAAAGGGAGAAGCAACTCCTGCCTGAGGACCTGCTGAAGAGGTTACCCGCAGAACCATCCCTGTAATACTGATTTCAGTGTACTTACTTAACTGAAAATGCATCACCATGGTAGAAGGAAAAAAACCCCAAACCCTAAAATGCATTACATCAGCAATAATAAGGAATTTAGTGAAGATTTTATTAAAGGGGGTTGCAAAAAGGTGAAATGCTTTCAGGGGTGAGAAGGAATCGAAAAAAGAAAGATTTGGAGTAAGAATATGCCATTTATCAATAGAATTTCAAAAGAACAGTTAAAGTCAGTAGAGTGATTAGTATCGCATGTCAACAGACATCCTTTAAGAAGTGAAAATCCTGTCCAAATGAAGAAGAAGTAAGTGCAAAATTAAGTTAAAATAAACAGGCAAGCCCAAAAGACTGAGGAACAGTAATAAAAATTCTCTAAGTGAGAGGCAGGGAATTCTTCCTTGCTCTTCCATCAATGGATAGCACGGTGGTAACAAAAGCCTAAAGCAGGCATGAACAACAGGTGATCAAAGTGTAATTGAAGCACTCAAGAAAATTAAGACCAACGTCAAGAAAACTGTTACAAATGACCATCATCAGAAAAAAAAGGTTCAGAACAAACTGGGTAAGAGGAATACTAACAGTGCCAGGGCTCGACACTGTCCACTGGAGAGTTCTAAAAGCAAGTGTAGAATGGTCAGCTAGCAACTGTTGGGTGTGTATAAACTCATTGCTTAAAACTGGTCTTGGTACTAGAAGGAATGAAAGATGATGCAAAGTGTTTCCACATAACACCATACAACACAGAGAATCCTGCATGTGTCTCTGTACGTATGTGATCCCATATGGATCTGTGGTGTGCTCACATCCAGAATCGTGCATGTGCTTCCGTTCCTCCCAGCTCAAAAAAAAACCCAACAAACAAACCCACGTAACAGAACTACAAAAACATAAAGGTGATGAGGAAGATCAAAGATACAGAATAGTTTCCAGAAAAGCAGAGCTAACATAGCAGATAATGGAAGCATATAGAATTGTGGGGCACGGGAATGGTAAATAGGAATGAAATTTACCATTTTTTTCATAGTGTAGGAAATACAGGATGTCATCAAGTAACAGTATTAGGCATCACGCTTGAAACAAATGAAAGGTTAAGTACGTTTTCATACACAGTGAGCTGTGGAACTCACTGCTACAAGATACTGTGGGAGTCAGGAGTGTAAGCTGGGAAAAAAAGTGATTAAACAAATTCACAGAACAGGACTATCTACTGAACACGAAGATGTGTATCTATCTCTGGTTAAGACAGTATTTAAGTTGTGAATTGCTGGAAGCTTTGAATGGACGCGAAGGGAATGATCACCGTATGTGGATCTTACTCCTATACTCGCTCCGTACCAGGAAGGAGGACAAGTAACTGATGTTCAGAATCACAGTATTTTGGATTAACCAGTATGGCCATTCCTGTATCAAGGGATAAGCTAAGATTATAGTATTGCCTTCGTTGTAGAGCAGGGACCTTCACAGAAATTAGTACAAGAAGTAGAAGGCAAGGGGGGTAAATCAGCTCACATTAGCGTTACTTTGTGTCTATTTTCAATGAACAAAGCGTGTCCCCTCAGGGACTGGAGTCATTGCCACAGGAGTGTTCCTGAGTTACGCCCACTGACAAACACTAGTTGGCGAGCAAGCAGTGGGCAGCTCAGCATGTGAACACACAGCAGGATGCAAGGTTTCTTTCTACTACAAATTTAATTATCTACTCCCACTTTTTGAAATCATGAGGATTGCCTTCAACTTAAGCTAATACAACAGCTCAAATGTCAGAATATTTACATGTGTTTGGAAACAGATGATTCCTCAGAAAAAAGAAATAAAAATGTTTGACTGTATAAACCACAAGGACCGCTTGCTTATTTTGGGTTTTCTTTTTCATCCATGATTACAGACACTCAATAACTCCAACTATCTGTTTACCAAAAAAGTCACACGTAACTTAATGAAAGTACACAATCTTGTACTGGCATGCAAAATACTCAGCAGGCCTGAGGTGTGAGACCAGGTGAAAACCCCAGTGTCCCAGATGCACTAAGCTAGAATTGAAAAGTCTTAAGACCAGAGACACAGTTATTAGGACATTACAGTTCTTACAA